GGAGGGAGGAAGGAAGGGAGGAGGGAGGAGGGAGGGAGGGAGGGAGGGAAGGAGAGGAGAAGGGGAGGGAAAGGCGAGGGAGGGGAGGGAAGGAGGAGAACGGGAGGCGAGGGAGGGGATAGCGAGGGAAAGGAGGGAGGGGAAGGAAGGGAGGGAGGGAAGGAGGGAGGGAGGGAAGGGAGGAGGGAGGGAAGGAGGAGGGAGGGAAGGAGGGAAGGAGGGGGAATAAAGGAGGGAAGGGAGGGAAGGAGGGGAGAAGGAGGGAAGGGAGCGAGGAGAGGGGAGGGAGTCAGGGAGAAAGAGAGATAGACAGAGGAGAGAGAGAGAGAGAGAGTGAGAGAGAGGGGAGGGAGGGAGGGGGAGGGAGACGGGAAGAGAGAGAGAAGGTAAGAGAGAGAGTGAAAGATAGATAGAGAAAAAGGGACAATGAAAGGGGGAAAAAACAACAGAGAGAAATCTGATTAGTATTTGACCGCCACTATACATCTACAACGTGAATAATAAAAACACACTGCACACGCACTCACACACACACACACACACACTACACACGCACAATACACCACACACACACACACACACAACACACACACACAACAACACGCACACACACCACACACACACACACACACACGCACGCACACACGCCTCGTATCGCGCAGGTCCTGACCGCGACATCAAGGTTCCCTCAAGCCGATTTAAGGACAAATTTCAAAGTCTTCTGAACTCCTTTGTTGTCGGACTCTGATTACAAGACAGAGGGAGAGGAAGAAGAGAGAGGGAGAGAGGGAGTAAAGGAAGAGGAAGGGACGGGGGAGAGAAGAAGAGAGAGGAGAGGAGGGAGTAAAGGAAGGAGGAAGGAGGGGGGAGAGAAGAAGAGAGACGGGAGAAGAGAGGGAGTAAAGGAAGGGGGAAGGAGGGGGAGAGAAGAAGAGAGAGGGAGAGAGGCAGTAAAGGAAGGGGAAAGGAGGGGAGAGATGAATGGAGGAAAGGGGGAGCAGAAGAAGAGAGAGGGAGGAGAGGTGAGAGAGGCAGTAAAAGAGGGGCGGAGATAGATGGAGGAAAGGGGGAGAGACGGATTCGTCAAAGTGGAAGGAAGGAACCGCACGTCTAACGTGCTGCGTCTACTAATTCGTAGGCCGCGTTCGAAGCCTGTTCCAATGCGCAAGTGTGGAATGCCACACGTAGGCCCATTCTTTGTTTCTTTGTTGTTTCTTTGGTCGTTGTTCTATTTTATTTCATCTTTTTTTTCGAATACTGATCTACTGAATTATAAGGCGAATTCCAACACAAAATACGATAACGGCAAGTAATACGAAATCACTGAATATAAAAACATGTTATTCAGCGATACTCATAGATAACGTTTCTAATGCATTTACCGTTAATTATAACAGTACTATCATACTATATATAATTATTTATAATATAGTATATCATCACGCGGTATTATATTACTAATATTATACATACCATAGCATAACATATATATAGATAAGATAGATAGAGTAGATAAATTAGATAGATAGATAGATAGATA